CTTCCTCTCTTTTTTTTCCTCCCCAAAGCCCAAGTACCTAGTTGTATATTCTAGTTGTAAGTCCTTCTAGCTCTTCTACATGAGCTGCCACCACCCCATGGTTGCTTTTTTTTTTTTTGAGGAAGATTAGCCCTGAGCTAAATCTACCGCCAAACCTCCTCCTTTTTGCTGAGGAAGACTGGCCCTGAGTTAACATTCGTGCCCATCTTCCTCTACTTTATATGTGGGACGCCTACCACAGCATGGCTTGTCAAGCGGTGCCATGTCTGCACCCGGGATCCAAACCAGAGAACCCCAGGCCACCGAAGTGGAATGTGCGCACTTAACCGCTGCGCCATGGGGCCGTTCCCCACCTCATGGCTTCTGACAGATGAGTGTTGTGGTTCCATGCCCAGGAAGTGAACCTGGGCTGCCTAAGCGAAGTGCACCAAACTTTAACCACTAGGTCATCAGGGCTGGCTCTGAAATTACTTTTGAACACAAAATTCTGGTGAAGAGAGATTGGCCCTGAGCTAACATCTGTTGCCACGCTTCCTTTTTCCTTTCTCCCCAAAGCCCCAGTACATAGCTGTACATCCTAGTTGTAGGTCATTCTAGCTCTTCTATGTGAGATGCCACCACAGCATGGCTTGATATGCAGTGTGCAGGTCCATGCCGAGGATCCGAACTGGTGAACCCCAGGCCACTGAAGCAGAGCATGCGAACTTAACTACTTGGCTACCGGGCTGGCCCCTGAACACAAAATTCTGACTGTATACATTTAGAAGGATATTTTCTAAGGGCTAAAGAACTGCAAAGAAATCTTGAGCTTTCCTTAGTTGTCATGATGGCAGTATTGGTATTATTCTGATGCCTTTTTGTGTGTGTTGTAGGATAAAACAACTGCAAGTATATTGATGTTGGGAACCAGGGTTTTCACTATGGCAGAAGGAAGGCACGAGTAAGGAATGGAGAGATTTGAATGGCGAGGTAGCAGTATGAATTATTTATTTAAGGAAAAAGAGCTCTCTCCTCAGAAAGAGCTAGAAGCATGACACCTGTGGAGCAGTAAGAGCTTTGCTAACTCTCAGCTCTTTGTTTCTAAATAATACTTCCTAGTAAAGTGAACCAGATTTCATTGGAGAAATCATTGATTTCAGGTTTGGAGCAGGGAAGGGACATGGTGAGTCTGGAATATCTCGCGCTGGAAATGCTCAGATTGATGGAATGGTCGAGAGGACAAAGGAGCTGGTTTGAAGGGGTTCTCACGAGCCAAATATGGGATAATTTGAACATCACAAAGAGTAATTGATTTTCTTAAGTGTGGTAATGGTTTCATGATTTCATAGACTGTTCCTGTTCTCAGGACATGTATGCTTAGAGTTAAGTCTCATGATGTCTAAAACCCATTTTTGTTTTGGCACAAAGGAAATGTGTACATAAAAGAGAAGTGGAGCCAGTATGGCAAAACGTTAACAGTGAACCTGAGTGAGAGGTACACAGATGTTCATTGTACTATTTTGTTTCTGTGAGTTTGAAATTATTCAAAATTTAAAGAAAAAATTATCTACTGAGGATCTTTTCACAACTGGCAGGGACTGGGGTTCTGGGCTGACTTGCCTTTTTTCTTTTTAGATTCAAGAAATCCATGGTGAAAGGTTTGGATTCCTATGAGGAAAAAGAGGATGAGGTGATCAAAGAGGTAAGTTAAAGGAAAGGCCTCTGAAGGACCCAGCCCCCGTGACTTTGTAGCTATCTAAGCAGCCTCTCTCCCACAGATGGCAGCTCAGATCCGCGAGGTGGAGCAGAGCCGGCAGGAGGTGGTTCGGTCTGTGTTAGAGGTTGGTTTCTCTCGGAGGAGCCAGAGCAGTATCCAAATCCACTGATCCCTGGTTCTCTCAGGTCCAGCATCTCACCTACCAGCTCTTCTAAGAGAACTGATGGACTCCATGCTTCACCTGCTCGGCTTGAATTCCCTTACCTGTCAGCCAGGGGGCAGGCCTTGTCAGTGGAGATGGGGCAAGGGCTGGGAGGGAGGGAAGGGAAGAGTTTGCAAGATGGGCAGTACCCTTCATATGCTAATTTGCTTCCTTCTGGAGGGTGGGAGCATGGCCAAGGCAGACTCTTAAGCATCCTAGACACATTTATTTTTCCTGAATCAAACTCAGCCTCAGGCAGTGCCAGACCCAGAAGAGGGCTCTTCGGCACCTGGAAGCTGGAAAGGGACAAACAGGTAAGATTACTTGGGAATTTCTTGCTGGGAGTTTGACACCTGTTTTAGAGCATTTTGTAACCTTTTGGCTGTGAAATGAGAGCAAATCTCATGTTTGCTGTCCTCATGGCTCAAGGACCTTGTCTGCCAGCTGGCTGCTGTTTGTCTTTTTCAGCCAAGTAGCTTCCATCTCACAGCAGCCCTCATACTTGGACCTGCCACCAGCCCCAGAGCTTGACTGGATGGAAACAGGACAACCTCTGACATTCATTGGCCATCAGGTACAATGGATAAGGAAGCCCGGAAAGGGGAAAAGGCCCCGTCAGTCAGCACCCACCTCTGTTTTTTCTACCTATTCTGGCTGCTCCTGTCTTAACTCAGGCTTTTCCCTCTTGCTGCACCGTTCCACAGTAGCATCTTCTCAGACCTCTTTCCTCACCCTCCATGGTGAGCTTCTCCACACCTGTTGCCCCCACTGTCACTCCTAAACCTCATCCTCTGCAGAACCCAGGGCCAGCTCAATATAGATTCTAGATATCCCATAGGCACCTGAATCTACCCCCTCTACTCCTGTATTTCCACTAACTGTAGATGCAGATCCTTATCCCCTTCTTCTGTCTCCCACATCCTGTCAGTGAGTATGTCTGCTTTACCTCCTGAATACAAGTTGGCCTCTATTCCACCTTGGAACAATTTTTCTCCCTGTGATCCTGTCCCAAACACAGAAAATCATTACATTACCTGCAATCTTATATTCTATAGTCCAGCTGTACTGTGCTTCTCCCTACTTTTGTCTTATGTTGTTGCCTTCGCCTTTAATAATGCGTTTTCCTTCCCTCATCACCTAGTCAACACTTACTTTCCTTCAGCTCTTAGCTCAAATGTCAGTTTTTCACAGGTGGCTTATCTGAACAGGCTGTCTCTGTTATAAATGGATGTAGTACCATGTAGAGCTGTGCATGTGATTTAATTTATACCGAGTTCTCTTTCCCAATGATCTGTATGCTCTGTGAGGAAAGGTTTTGTTTACCTGGCACGTAGTAGGCAGTCTGTTTTTGGAGATCAGTATTAAGATCATGAGTCTCCTGAGGACAAGACTGTCTTTCAATGACTTAGTGTGCTCTGAGATTTAACATCAGTCCGTGTGCAGAATTAACATTGTGGCAGTGGTTCCATCCACCTCCTGTAAAGTTTGCCCTTTGTCTAGCTGTGAGTATCCTATCATCTCTTGGCTCTTATCTAGGATTTTCCCCCCATTTCCAACTACAGGATACACCAGGAGTTGGTAACGTCCACTCAGGTAAGGCCCACGGCAGTTTCTCAAATTTTAAGAGGCAATTTTTCTTTTTAAAAGAATAAAGTTGATTAAGATAAAGCACTATCTGATGAAGGACTTGTATGAATAAAAACTCAACAAAGGCATATACAAAAGATGTTCACCCGAATGGCTAAAGGTCACTGCCCATGTTTGTGGAGGAACTCTCATACACTGCTGGTGGGAATATAAAATGGAACGACCACTTTGGAAGACCGTTCAGCATTTTAAGAAAAGTTAAGCATACACCCAGCATTAGGATCCAGCCATTCCAAGAGAAAATAAAGTCTGTCCACACAAAGGCTTGGACACAAATCATCACAGCAGCTTTATTTGCAGTAGCCTCAAACCGGAAACAATCCAAATGTCCCTCAACAAATGAACAAGGGAATAGTAAACAACAAAGGAACTTACTGATACATGCAACACAGACAAAATCTCAAAACAATGCTAAAAGCCAAACCAAAAAATATATATATATACACTATATTCCATTTATATAAAATTACAGAAAATGCAAGCTAATCTACAGCAACAGAAAGCACAGCAGTAGCTGCCTGGCGCTGGAAAGGGGTATGTGGAAGTGTAGGAAGAGCATTATAAAGGGATACGAGGATACATGGGGTTGATGTTCAGTATCTGGATTATGGTGGTTTCACACAAAACGTTTCAAATTGTACACTTTAAACGTGTGCAGTTTGTTGTATGTCAATCACACCTCCATAAAACTATTAAATACTAGCACGTCACATGTAAGATACGCTATTTTAAATTAGCCAAGGACCTTCAATTTCCCATGGTCCAGGATTCCTGGGTTTTGCTTTTGAACATTTCTAGGTCTTAAGTAAGAGCTTAAAGGCATGTTTCACAGTAGACTGAAGGTTAAAAAAATTTTTAAGTGCCTTAATTTCTACTTGATGAGTCTTCTCTTTTCAGGTGCTACACCTCCCTGGATGGCCCTAGATGAGGAATACAGCTCTGGGAACCAACAAATAGGACCCTCCTATGAAGAATTTCTTAAAGAAAGTAAGTAAACTAACTCCAGAATGACAGTGGGTTCCTTAAATCTTCCTACTCACAACTCTTTACTTATCTGTAGAGGAAAAACAGAAATTGAAGAAACTGCCCCCAGACAGAGTTGGGGCCAACTTTGACCACAGCTCTAGCACCGGTGCAGGGTGGCTGCCCTCTTTTGGCCGGGTCTGGAATAACGGACGCCGCTGGCAATCGAGGTAGTATGGGTCCGTATGGGTCCGGCCCCCTACCCACCACCCTTTTGGAGACCTTACGCCTTCATCCTGTTAACCCTTCATTTCCTTTCAGGCATCAATTCAAAACTGAAGCTGCGGCAAGGAACAAACAGTCACATAAAGAAAAAAGGCTAATGATTTCCTGATATGTTTTCAACTACCATCAGAGCTCAAAGCCAAGTCAACAAACCTGTACCTACTATCCTTTGTAAATTACCTTTCTCAGGAAACACACAGTCACTTATTTGATTTAATAAAGTTTTATTTTTCAAAATGTACAGCTGATGGGACCTGCAAAAAAAATAAAGAAGAATCAGAACTATAGAGCCTTGTTCAGGAGATGCATACACCATGAGCCCCTGGGTTCTTGCTCACCTGTTCATGCATCTTCACCAGCCGCTGGGGCATCTCCGCCTTTCGTGTTTCTGGTATAAATTACTTGAGCTCTGTGCTTTGAAACCAGTTTAATAAGTCCTAGGGAGAAAAGAAAACGTTTTCACATAACAGTACTATGAGATACTTATTTTTATAAACACTTTTGGAATTTTAATACCCATATTTCAGTGTAATTGGGTTTCTTCTGTAATTTTATGTATGTATTTTATTTATTTGGAAACATAAGGGATCCCTGGGTTTCACCAAACTGCCATAGGGGCCTACGGCACAAAAATGGCCAAGAACCCTGCTTTAGGTTTTATCCTTGAGATAACATACTAGAATTATATTGCTAATGACCACTGGTGAGCCTACACCTGTTTTTTAAAATTCCATAAAAGCATTTAAGAAGGCTAACATGGTCAGGGCTATTTTAACGTGCACCAGCCTACCAGCACAACACTCCTCACCTTTACTAAGGAGCTCCTGAAGGGCTGCCCTGGCCAGGGAACCGCGAATCTTCAGTCTCTCTGAGACAACAGCTGGGGTTATAAGCTTATAGTTGGGCACTTCCTTACACAGTTTGTCATATGTCGCTTTGTCAAACAAGACTAGGTTATTGAGCTTGTCCCGAACTTTGCCTTTGGACCACTTCTGCTCACAAAAACAAAAAGGAAAAAAGTCAGTGCTCCCAGACGAATCGCGCTCTCTCTCCTAAACAACCTGTATCAGAGAAATGTCTTCCAAGGTTGTAGGGCTATAACCGAGAGGGTGGCTCCGTTCCTTCGCCTGCAGAAACCTATGAGATTCAGAATCTGCAGAAACCCTGCAAATTCAAATAAATATATCCAGGTAATTAGAAAGCCACGATAAAAAACAAGATTAAAAAATCAGGATTACCGTTAATAGCATCAAAGATAATTAGATTGGGGGGAGAAAACCCCAACACATCTTTGAGACTTTCAGATATGAGCTGAGTCCCAAGGGACTAATTAAAGTAACATCATGTGGCCAGACATCAGAACAAATGCTTTATACAACCTTCTTTAACTTCCAAGTAATATGTACCACCCATTCTTCAAATGAGGAAAAGACCAGTAACAACGAATCGTGATGAGAGCTTAAGCTTTAATAATGTAACTCTAGACCCCACAACCTTACGAGCCATTTACTGTACACGTCACTTTTACTAGCGCTATGGGACCGGCGCCCCCACTCTCCCTCTTACGGGGGGACTCACTCCTACCTTCTTTTTGGCTTTGCCCCCAGATTTGTTCACTGGGTCTTTGTCTTTCTTGGCCGACTTTCCGGCATCTTTCTTCTTCTTGTCGTCCTTGGGCGGCTGTAGAAGAAAAGCGGGAATGCAGCCAGGTCATAAGGCGGCCCCAGGCTCTCCCTAGCACTGCGCCCCTCACCCCCGCAAACCCGAATGCCGGAGCACATGGGCGAAGCAAGACCCTCGCCCGCCTCGAGATGCAGCCAGGCAGTTCTGGGGGCCCTCCTGTCCGATGTCGCCTCAAACGTGCCCTAGCACCGCCCCGCTCTCGGAACCGCGCCGGCTTCAAACCCCCGGGCTCACCATCGCGAAGCTCGGACAGCAGCTATCACCACTGCAGCCTTGCTAAGATGTCGGACAAAAAGGAAGCGCCGCTCACCAACAAGCCCAGAAACCTCCACCCGCGGCGAGTGCTTCCGGGGCAAGGGGCGGAGCCCGCGATGGAAGTTGGGAGGCGGCGCGCTCTCGCTGGAGCCGGAAGCCGGCTGGGGGCAGTGGGCTCCGGCTCTCTAGCCGCACACGCGGGACGCTGCGCCGCCTTGCTGGGCTCTGCCGCTAGTTGCGAAGCTGCCACGCGTTGCTACGTCCTGGCGCTAAGAACCGGGAAAGAGAGACAGAAAACAATTCACCCCGTCCCAGCAGCTCACTTGACGGCATTACTGATACCCGAGCCTGTTGCTTCAAGTGCGCAGGCGCCGCAGCCAGCCGCCCGCCGGGGCTGGGAGGGGAAAGCGGCGGGGGGGGCGGGCCGTGACTGCGGTTCCGGGGCGGGGCCGTGGGGAAGAGGCTAGTTACCGGTGTCCGCGCCGCGGCGAAGCAATGGCGATTTTTAGTGTGTATGTGGTGAACAAAGCTGGCGGCCTGATTTACCAGTTGGACAGCTACGCGCCACGGGCCGAGGCTGAGAAGACTTTCAGCTACCCGCTTGATCTGCTGCTCAAGCTACATGACGAGCGTGTGCTCGTTGCCTTTGGCCAGCGCGACGGCATCCGGGGTGGGCTAGGCTCGGGCCCGGGGGGCGGGGCCGGGTGCTGCGGGAGTGGGCTGGTGTCTCTGCAGAGGCGCGGCGTGAAGGGGTGCGGCCGGGTCCCTTGTTCCCTCGGCCGAATCCCCACGCTGGGCCTTCGTTGACCCTTAGCTTCACTTCTGCAGTGGGCCACGCGGTGCTGGCCATCAATGGCGTGGACGTGAACGGCAAATACACGGCCGATGGGAAAGAGGTGTTGGAATACCTGGGCAACCCTGCTAATTACCCGGTGTCCATTCGATTCGGCCGGCCCCGCCTCACCTCCAATGAGAAGCTCATGCTGGCCTCCATGTTCCACTCGTAAGTCCCCCAACCCTTCCTAGTGCTTGTTGGCCTGCACTTGGTTGTTAGGCTGGCTGGATTAGTGTGGTTCTGCGGGCAGTCTCCTGAGCTGCAGTGCCTACGTTTCTCTACCTCGTTTTAAATCGTCAGTGCTTGTGCTATGAAAAGAAAAAGAACTGATCCAGTGTAACTAGGTTTTAGGTGATACTGGCAGTGGTGTGATCTTGCTTAAGCCAACTTCTCTTCTCTGAGTCTTAGTTCCTACATCTTTAAAGTAAGGCAATTGAACTAAATGATCTTTAAGATCTTTTCCTGCTCTCAGCTATGGTGTGAGATGTGCTAGGGATCTATAGCCACGGGGTAAGTAACCGTGGCACATATTCCCAGTGTTAATTTTACCCAAAGTTTTTCCATATAAAATGTTTTATAGCAAAGTATGAGTGTAAAATATATGCAGAATTCAAGTGAATTTTAAAGAAATTCTGATACTGCTGCTGGGCAGTTCACACCGCCTCATCTGCCTGTCTCAGGCTGTAATGTGAACTCCTCAGCAGACAGGATCTCTTCAGTGGAAAAGGTGGAGAAGCACTCCTCCCTTGCAGCAGTCGGGTGCATTCCCAGCTTTGCCTCCTTTGCAAATAGGCTGTTCGCAATCGGCTCCCAGCTGTCTCCGGAACAGGGCAGCTCAGGCATTGAGATGCTGGAGACAGACACATTCAAACTACACTGCTTCCAGACACTGACAGGTATGCATCTCCAGCTAGGCCAGAGGGATTCACTGGGGCAGGTTGGGGGGAGGGACTGACCAAAGACAGCTTTAGTAAGCAAGGGGGCTGGTGGTTTGTTTTTCCTATGACACTTGCACAGATACATCTATTTATTTGTTTTGTGAATCCAAAGCCAATATTTAATCTGATGTGAGTTTTGTTCACGTCACCCAGTGTACTCAGCCCTGGTTATCCCGTGTGGAGATAAAGCTCACCTTAAAGTTGTCTCATGTTCCACACATTTTGGAAGGTGTGTTGTTCTAAAATGAAATTCAAATGCCAAATGGAAGTAACCTTTGGATTGTGTCATTGCTTCACTCGCTTAATGCAGATAATTGAAAACTGCCAGAGTTTGTCCCCTGCCTGGCGCTTTCTGCTGAGGGACCCTAAGCAGAAGTAAGCGACAGAGCTAGAATTCAAAGCCTGGTCTCTCAGTCAACTGGGTGATGTGATAAAGTCACTTGACTTTTATGGTCTCACCTGTAGATTCAAAATCTTGCCTTTCTTGCTTTATGGAGCAGTGAGGATAGAATAAAAATAGGCTTGTGAAAGTGCCTTGCAAAACTGAAAGTGCCGTACAAACACAGGATGGCATTATTTGCTGCATTCTCTGCCATTTGGTAACCATTCCCCGCCCTACTCTCCAGGGATCAAGTTTGTGGTGCTGGCAGATCCTAGGCAAGCTGGAATAGATTCTCTTCTCCGAAAGATTTATGAGATTTATTCAGACTTTGCCCTCAAGAATCCTTTCTACTCCCTGGAAATGCCAATCAGGTAGGTGGCCCCACTCCCTAGATACTGGTCATAGCCTCCTTGCCCCTCCCCATGTGCTCTTCCCCAGAGTCATTTTGAAGTGTAATAGAGTTATTTTTAAATAAAACAAAACTGACTAGCCTTTTACTTATTATTTTGAGAAACCAAAGACTTTCCTTGGGGTTCATGTCCTTCTTCATGCAGAGTTTCCACTGGCTCTCCTCTGTACCTAAAGTGGAGAAAGAGCCTGAGGCCTCACCCTTTGTCCTCATTTGTCCCTCCTGGGCCTGGCCTAGGTGTGAGCTGTTTGACCAGAACCTGAAGTTAGCCCTGGAGGTGGCAGAGAAGGCTGGAACTTTTGGACCTGGGTCATAGGCTGAACCTGCAATGGACACCCCCAATTCTGAGAGATCCTGCAGCAAGGGTCCTGCTGTTTCCACTCTGATGGAGATTCCAGCAGCCTTGTTAGTGCACTTGAAAATGGGAGGATGACGAGCCTGATGACATGTACTGATCCCCGAGCCTTAATACTTTGCTCTCTTCCCTCCTGTATCTATCATGGTCCTACTTCCCAACTCTGTACAGATTTATTTATGGAGGAGGTAGGCCCATAAATGCTGTAATAAACATTCCTTTGATCTCAGTGTTTGCTATCCTAATTGATGGTTTTAGGGGAAGGGCTTGGGAGGTGAGACAGGAATGATAAGGGAATTCTGGGAAGACGTAATGCTATGTTCTAGTAGAAAACAAAATAAATATGTGTTCATTAAATAAATGAACATGGGACTTTGAATCAGGAGCCTTGGATCTAGTTCCAGAATTGCCGCTGACTTCCTGAGGTGCTGGTGGTGGTGGTGACGATGATGATGGAACATTTATCAACTGTTTATAGCCAGGCTGTATTGCTTTAGCTCACTTAATTCTCAGTCTAGCCTTGGGGTACATTCTCTTATTGACAAGAGATTTAGCAAGGTATAAATTCTGTGCCTCAGTCTCAAACCTGGTTACTGACAGCCTGAGCTTGAACCCAGGCTTTCTGCCTACACTATCAGTGAGCTCCTGTTACACCGCCTCCCTCCATCAAGTTATTTCATCTGCCTGAAACCCTGTAGCTTCATCTCTAAAATGATCATTGATTAGACAGTGTTGAGTTGAAGGGAGAGAAGACATGAGCTTAAAGGAGTCCACATCAGCTTTCCCATTCCAGGGAAACGAAGCTTTGGAAGAGTATTTTCCAAAGAAAGCTGTCTCTGGCTTGTGTTACTCCTTTTGAAAGAATGACTCACTGACTGTTTAGTATCAAATCTAGTTTTAATCTTCTATAACAAGAACAAGTCTTCCTATCCTCCCACCCATACCCCCCTACTGTACCCAGGGTGTCGATGGGAGTGATGGCCTCCTGTCTTCCCCTGGAGTCTGAGGTATTGATAATGGCATTTGCCCCCTGCTGAGAGGCCTTAGGACAGAAGTCATGGGCCACTGGTGCCCTACAGCTGCAGGAGGAGCCTCAGCTCAGGTGGGGATGGGGTGGAATGGGGGCAGGGAAGGGCCCAGGAGAGGAAGAAAGGTATAGGAGACTTCCTTGACTGCAGGGGTTTCCAGTTTGAAGGCAGGAAATAGGAGCTAATGGAGTCCAAGAATAAAGGTTGTCTTAAATAGAGCATAGGATGGGGAGCTGGGACCTCATTAGCCACTGATAACTCCCAGTGCCACCTGGGCGAGGAAAAAGGAGCAGAAAAGGGAAAGTCAATGGTTCACTCCTAGCCGGAGCTGCCCACTTCCCTCTCTCCCATCACCCCTGTGCAGGGGAAAGGCCACAGATGGAAGAGGATACTCCAGAGCCTGCACTCTCTTCATTCAGCCTTCTTTGGCACTCGGCCCATCTTGGTGCGGATGTTTCGTAGGAGGAAGAAGGCAGCTGTGCTAGCTGCACAGATCACTTCAGCTACCCAGAACGCTGTGCTCCAGCTGTAGTGCTTGGCAATGGTGCTGAAGGGCAACCCAGCCAGAAAGCCGCCCACTGCCAGGGAGGAGGAGAAGAACCTGAGTCATTTGTGAGGCTGGAGCCAGTGGGGCTTGCTCCAGACTCAAGCTGGCCTATGTGCACAAGTGGGGGTGAAGTGAGACTCTAGAGGGTATCACTTACCATTGGCCATGAGCCCCACAACAGCATGGGAGGTGCCACACAAGTTGGGAGGGGCGCTCTCGTTGGCTATAACTCCAAACAAGGCAATGGGACCATAAGAGGAGAAACCAAACACAGCTCCCAACACGAGGATCCAGAGCTGCAAGGGCAGTGCAGGGTAGCACTTAGAGTGAGAAAGCTTACCTCCCTACCCCTGCCAGAGGAGAGAAGCATGCTTGGCCCCCAGGAACGAATAATTGTAGTAAGGACACAGTAAGTGAGCCCCCATCCCACTTCCCAATACAACTGACAGTGCAGAGCTAGAGGAGTGGGTGCCACGCTGAGCAAACCCCAGGACCTGTGTGGGTAGGAAAGGGAGGTACAGAGGCCATCCCTCCAAGTTGGAGGTGCTCTCTTCTCAGACTTTGCGCAGCGTGGATTGGCTAGGGGCAAGGCAGAGGGGTAGGACAAAGGTGAAACAAACCAAGAGAAAAACCAGACATAAAGATAAGGCACCTCATGCTCTGTAAAGCCTGTGAGCTCAGCCAGAGGGTGAAGAGCTGGAGTCCAGAAAGCAACATCCTAGAGGAGCACAGGGAAGAGAAGAAAACCAGGCCCAGAGTCCAGGAGGGGCACCAAAGTACAGAGGAGAGCTGAGGTACAAACAGAACTGAAAAGGGAAATCTGAGAGGCAGAGACAGGCCTGGGTCAGGCCGGAGCCATGGAGAGGGAGACAGAGTCAGTAGTCCCTGCATTTCTCCTCGTACCTGCCGTGTGCCAGGCCCTCCTTATTTACCTTAGGAGAGTCACTGGTCACAGTTACCCGGAAGAGGTACATGGACACTGTCATGCCAGCCATCATGAACAGCAACAGTCCATGGCGAGGGTTCCCATAGATCGATAGCCCTGCCTGTGGACACAGTCCCAGCAATGTCAGGCCCTAGGAGTAGCAGAGAACCCCCACCCCTGGACTCTGACACAGCAGGCTTCTGCTGACAGGTCTTTGGCAATCCCACCCCAGTTCTTGGCCCAGGCAGCTCTGGGAGGCCCTGGGACGTGCTCATTACGTCTGAGGCCAAACTCCACATCCCGTCCTCAACTTGGGCAGGCTCAGGACACGTGCTGGCGAGCTGCACCCAGCCCCTCCCTAACCCCAGTTTCCCTGGGGCTTTGGAGAAGCCCACTGCTAGGCTGAGAGAAATTCTGGCTCTCCTTGATGTCAGTTAAAACCTTTCCCTAAGAGCCTTATCTCCACAGCCCTAGCAAAGAAGAGTAGCCTGGAATCATTCCCACCACATTCAACCTAAACCAGCATATGCCAACTGCCTGTGCCCCAGGGCTCCCACCTCTGGTGCCTGTCCTAGTCATGCTGGGAAGATTTAAAGGGACCCTCCTCCTTCCTGTTCCTTCTGCCCACTCACCTTTGCCATGGCCCGGTCTGACAGATAGCCAGCTGCGATGCTGCCTATGAGGCCACCAACCTCCAGGGCACTCATGTAGGAGCTACCTGCAGTGGGAAGTTGTGGTGGGAAGAGAGAAAGGAAGGGTGGGAGGGTATGGAAGGGTGTTACACATTGGAGTTATCCCAGATTGGCTTAAACCTAGAGAGGTACAGGGTCCCCAGCAGTGTCCGGCCTCAGGGAAAGAAGAACAGGGATAAAGGGAAGCTGGGCCTGAATTTCCCATCCCCTGCATTGGTTCCTGTTCCCTATGCCCACCCCTGTCCCAACACTCATCTTACCCACAAGGGCTGACTGTCCTTTCTCCTGGATAAGGAAGAACTGGCCCCAGTCAGTACAGCAGGTCTTTACTCCAAACACCACAAGGTAGCCAGTGGAGAGCACCCACAGGTAGGGGGACAGCAGCAGCTCCCTTAAGGTACTCTCCTCCTTCAAGGAGCCTGGGAGTGGGAGAAGGCCAGACCTCAGGCTCTGCTCCTGCTCCCCTGCCCCCGCTAAGCACCCCCACCCACTTCATTAACCAGCCACAGGGGCAGAGTCCGTCTGTACAGCCAGGGATCAGCAGGAAGGTACCCTCACACCTACTGTTCTGCCCTCTCCCTTCCACCTCAAGCCTTAACAAATGAAAGAGTGAGGACCAGGGCGGACGGAGGAAGGCACCCAAGCTGCTTAAGCTTAAGATGCTGCCCTGAACAAGAAAGCCTGGCTCTGTTGTGAGGAAGGACCAGGATATAACGAGTCACAACACTTGTTGGCTCTGCCAATTGTCTGGTACTTAACTGCCTCTTGGGATGGAGTTTTATTTACTCCCCACCCACTCTCCATCGCCATCCCTCCCCTGACATCCACTGGCTCGTACATGGCCAGGTCTACACCAGTCCTCAATGAAAGTCTGCCAGATGAAGGATGAACGAAGGTGCCCCAGTGGTCGGCTTGGGTGGGTGCTCACCCTTCTTGCCCTTGGAGGGGGTGGGGTCCAGGTTGCGGAGTCCAACATCAGCAGGTTCATTGTGGATGAGGAGGAGACAGAGGAAGGAGACAACCACACACAGTGCCCCAGACAGGGCCAGCGTGCTGCGCCAACTATAGCTCTGGGCGAGGATGGTTGCCAGGATAGGGCCCAGCCCTCCAGCCAGGTTCATGCTGGTTGACAGGATGGCCCACCAAGTGCCAAACTGAGATGGCTCAAACCACTGTGGGGCAGAGGGGGACAGAGTAGGTGCCCAGCCTACAGTCCATGTTGAAGGTGGGGGTCACGTGGGACAGTCCCAGATGCTCACATTACAGGGATGAGGGAGATGGCACTTCTACTTGGCAGGGCCAGTTTCCCTCATCTGCCACCTGATCCCACCACGTTCAGGTTCCTAAAATATCTTGACAAGCATTAGGAGCTGGACTGGAACTCCTGAGGAACCTGCTGTGGGTTGGGGGTGGAGGTGCAGGTGCTCCCACATGCTCCTTAGGTATCCTCAGTGCCAATCTAAACAGGCTTCTTGGAAGCAGACACTCACCTTCCGCAGGACCTTCCCACATGGGGGCCAGCCCAGCCCCTGTGCCAGGCCATTGAGGAACCAGAGAGCAGCGAAGACAGGCACTGTGGAGCTCCAGGAAAAGACTATGTTGACCAGGCCAACCAGGAGCAACCCAGAAGAGAAGAGCCAGCGAGCACTCATCTGGTCAGACAGCACCCCGCTCACGAACTTGCTGATGGCATAGGCTGCTGACTGGCTGCTGGTGATGAGCCCTGCAGGAGAGGGGAGCAGGGAGAAGGACACGTGGGGGGTTAGGGGCGAGGGCAAAGGCCAGGAGGGGTGAAGCAAGGCTTGGGATCAGGTGTGTAGAGGTGCCTGGCAGGGTGAGACAGATTCCTTCCAAGAGGAATAGGAGCCTGTGCTGGAATCCTAACACCCGTTCATGTTCACGGGCCCACTCCTCCTGCCTCACCATCAGCACTAGCCCCAGGCTGACCCATGACTTTTCAGCCTGTTGGAGAGTTCCAGCTGCAGCTGTCAGAGGGCAAGAAGGGAGCAGGACAGGGCAGGCCCCTCCCTGGGGTTTACACATGCCTCGTTTCCCCCTCACCCTGGATGCTGACCCAGGGCCTCTGGGAAGTTCTGTTGCCCCACATCTGAACATGGGGTGAAGAGCTCAGAATTGGAGTCAGGGACCTTATTCCTCCTGAAAGGTAGCCTTCTGGGCCACATGAAGTCATTGTGCCAGCTCACCAGTTCCCAGTGCTCACAGTGTCAGTGGCAGCACACAGCCTGTGGTCTGAGGATGCACTCACACAGATGTGGAAACTGCTCAGAACCCCCCTAAACACTAGGAATAAACAGTGCCTCTGGGGGCACATCTGGGGCACAGACGCGCACAGACACATGAGATAAGCAGCCCTCCTCAGACATGCATAGTTCACACTCATAGTCCTTCGTCTATACCCACATACACGGATCTGAGCCTCTTCACCCAGCACATGCGGACTCCCTTAGCCTCTGCCGTGCCCAGACACTCAACACACACTGAATGCCTGTACACACCACACTGCCACAAACAGCCAACTTCTCCTGCTGGCCTGTTTCGGGGCGCCCCCCGCGCCCTCCCAGGGCTCACCCAAGTCATCCTTGTCCAGAGGAATCTCCTCCACCACCGACGGCATGACAAAGGAGAAGGTCTTGCGGTTGAAGTAGTACAGGCTGTAGCCTCCAAACATGGCCAAGAAGATCACAGCGCGGTAATAGCTGTAGCCTTGGGCTGCCATGGTGGGACACAGAGCCCCTGACCACAGCTCCTGCTTGCCGCTGTCTCAGTGCCCAGATCTGCTGAGGTAGGCTTTTTCTGCTCCCTCCTCCACCCAGCCTCCCAGGCTCCCTTTATAGCCACCTTCTGGACAATCATTAAGCCTGGGGACGCTCCGAGGGAACCCAGTGTCCTGAGGGAGACAAGAAAACAGGAGATTACTGACTGCCAAGCTGTGAGGGCTGGAGGGGGTCCCAGAGGGAGGCAGTGCCTGTGAGCCAAGCCAGCACCCAGTGTCCCCAGAATTGCTCCCTTTCCCTGCTCTTCCTTGTCCTCCTGCCTGTGAAACCAGCTGTGATTAAAGGCTCAACCTAATTACTTTTGTCTGCAGGAGCCCAGGGGAGGCAGGGGTGGGACGAGTAGAGCTGCCCTCTGTAGCCCGGCTCCCTCAGTCACCTACCTTCTCTTTCATTCCATGAAGGTTTACTCAGGGCTGACGGGTTGCCAGGCACTGCACCAGGTTCTGGGTTAGTTTCTACACACACACACACACACGCTCAGACACATACCACCCAAAACCCCGCTTCCCCGTCCTCTAGAGCCGACCTCAAGCCCTGTAACTCCCCATGCTTGGCACACATGGGGGGTAACTGTTTATTGTTAGTTGCAGAATTGTAAACATGGGGAAACTTCCCGGTTCAGGCCCACAGTGTCACACCGAAAGCCCTACTAGGGTCTGGGTCGTGGTGGGGTCACTCAGCTGCCTCTGGTCTCTTTACCCTGTGATTCAGGGTGGGCTCCCGTCTGGCTGGCTGGGGGCTGCAGGGTCGGTGCCTGTCGGACGGACGGCCTGCGGATGGGAAGGTGCACCGGCGGACCTCAAGCGGCGGGGCCGAACCGCCCTGCTTCCCAGGGCCCGGGCAACGTGCCCCCGGCTTTTCCGCTCGGCTGGGAAAGCAATTGGAGCAGAAGGCGTGGGCGCCAGCGGAGCGGGCGAGCGCACGTAGTCTTCTCCCTGCGGCCCCTCGCTCCGGGCGCCCGGCAGCGCAGCCCCGCAGGGTGGGGCTGGCGGCGGGCTCTCGGCACCTGCCCAGCCCCGTGTCCTCAAGCTACCCGACTCGGGCTGGGAGCCGACGGGGCTGGGGGGCAGGCGCCGGAGGGGTGCGGAGACCGAGGACCGGAGCCACAGAAAGGAGCAGGCGTGTGCTGGTTACCCGCAGCGCCTCGGCGGCCCCCAGCCCCAGGACCTGCCCCCTCCCCGGAAGGGGCAGCCGCAGGAGCAGCTCCGGGTTGTATCGGAAGTTGGGGCAACCTTCGTTGAGGCGCCAACGAAGGAGCCCCGAGGCCCGAGACTCCCCCCAGCCCCGCCCTCCGGCGACGCCCCTCCCCCGCGTGCCGCCCCCTACCTGAACGGAGGCGGGAGCCCGACTAGGACGGGGCGGGGCCGGCGGGCGCATGCGCGGGCTCGCTGGCTGGGGCGGGGCCTCCGCCGGCGTCTTTTCGGCCCGGGAGTCGAGTCGGTCCCCAAGGTTCTGGGCTTAATCATGCCGGTCACGCTGGCGCTTGGGGGGGAACAGCGCCCCTTAGGGGCTGGGCTTCTATGGTCCCTTCTTAACTGATGGCCTTCAACGAACTTTTTTACTGAGTGCCTCCCACTGCCAGTCACAGTCTGGGAAAGGTCTTATAGAAGACTGTGGTATTTTCGGTAAGAAATTAGTACCGTCCTAAATAAGCACAATTTGAATATTTAACTTATGGTCAGACTGTTGGGGACAGAGTTAAAACAAAATAGACAGTGTTTAAAGTAACGGGCCCGAAGTAAACCTTCAATTCTGATCCAGGACCCACTGCATTCTAACACTGTGACCTTGGCTAATAATCTCCATGACCCCTAGCTTCTTATCAACCTCATAGGTTGGTTGTGAGGACTCAAGAGAAGATTTAGGTAAGAGTTCAGAAAATTTAAATAATCGCTTTCACAGAGCCCACCAGAGGATTGCTGAAAGAATTTTTAAGTGCTCCAAAGTTGAGAGCAAAAATCTTTTAGAGTGGGAAGGTGCTCAGAGAAGGGAGAGGTGGGCGCGAGATAAAATGGGACACCCTGTGGCTGAACTTCCCAATTCACCAGGTGTCTGCTCGGCCAGAGCCTACCGCGGATCAGGCACCGCGCTTTCCTTAAGGTAGATCAGAGGACCAGGAAAATGAGTTTCTCCAAAACCAAACCAGACCGAAGAATTCCTATTTTACCTAATAGACAGCCATTTAAGCTTTTTCCCCCCAACTTATTTTTAAGGTATAATATGCACACAGTAAAATACAAAAATTGCACATATCTTCAGTGTACAGCTCAAGGATTTTTTTGATGTATATGAATGCCCCTGTAACCACCACCTAGATTGTTAACTGTCCTATCATTTTATTTTGTAAATTTTCAAATCTATAGAAAAGTTGCAAGAATACTCTTCAACTTGCAAATGTTAATATTTTGCTATATTTTCCTAATCTCTCTGTATAAATATATGTACGTGTTGTCAGGGAGGGAGAAATTCCCCTTTCTACCCTTCTTATGTTCTTATGGCTGGACTGATAATAAAACTGACACAAGACCAGATTAACAGGAGAAAACCCCAATTTAATTACATACACACGGGAGAATCATGAAAATGATGCTCAAAGAGGGAACGAAGCGGGCAGTGTGTATATCTTTTTTTTAAAGATTGGACCTGAGCTAACATCTGTTGCCAATCTTTTTTCTTCTTCTTCTTCTTCTCCCTAAGCCCCCGAGTACATAGTTGTATATTCTAGTTGTAGGTCCTTCTGGTTGTGCTATGTAGGACACTGCCTCAGCATGGCCTGAGGACTGGTCCTAGGTCTGTGCCCGGGATCCCAAGCCTCGAAACCCTGGGCCGCTGAAGCGGAGCACGCAAACTTTACCTGGCCATGGGGCCGGCTCCAGGTATATATCTTTTTACGTGAAGAAACAATAAATTTGTGAGGAACTGCCAGGGCAAAGAAACAGATTTGGGGTACATAATTAATGAGGAATTTAAACAGAATTTAGGCTTGAAGTAGTAAATAAACAGGGTTTGTCTATGCAGGCTTCTTCGCCCTGCATCCCGCAGCTCTGGTGATAAGGATGCAGGAGAGCACCTTTCACACGGGAGATTTACTTCCAGCTTTCAGAGAGACAAAGGAGGGTCGGAGCGCTCTTCTTGTATCGGGCGCTTCTCCAGTGACTTTAATTTGAAATAATCAATATGCAATCGTGGAACATTTTGACGCAGCCTGTCCTGGGCCCCAACGATGTATTTGTTGTTGAACCATTTGCAAGTTAGTTGCAGACACTGTGAAACTTCACCCCTATGTGTTTCGGCCTGTGTTGCCTTAAAAACAGGGATAATCTCCTACATAACCACATACAATTTCTGACACTCAAGAAATGTATTCGTTAATATATAGTCCACATTTAAATGTCTCCAATTTTCCCAAAGATGTCTTTTAAAGCTTTTTTTAAAATCCAGAATCCAATCAAGGATTATACATTACATGTAGTTATAATTCTTTACTCTCGTATAATCCCCTTTTAAAATCTTTCATGAGGCATTCTGCAGTGGTGCCGCTTGGCCGGTGGCAGGTTGCAGGCTGCTGGCGTGCAGGCTGAGGAGAACAGCAAGTGGGTTCAGCATTTCCCTTCCGGGTCCCCAAAATGATGAGTGCTGTCAGGGAGTCCATCCGCCTGAGGTGAAGCATTCAGCCTTCCCCAGACGGCAATCTTGGATCTTGTAATTAGGAGGCAGCAGACTTAGGGGAAGAGGACAAGAAAATTAATGAAGATGAGGAGTCTCAATATCAGCAAAATATGGACAGTAAATTCTCAGGAAGATATAGATGACATTGTGACCTTGGCTTCAGTGAAGTAGAAGGTCATCATGGAGAAGGCGATGTGGCTGGAGACGATGATTGACCTGACCCTGAAAGTCCAGATGGCTCTGAAAGTGATTCACAGAGAAAAACGAATCTGTTGAAGAACACCAAGCTGCTGAGCGCCCTGATGAAGTGGAGGTTTCCAAAAGCAAAAAAGGTACAAAAAGCAACTGTAAAATGATGTTTCTTAAGTCCAGTGGTTCATAACTCCCAAACACTTAGTCTTTGCATAAAAAGCAAGCCTTATTATCATAATGCACAGTGGAGGACTACTTATAGAGCATAGACTTTTGTATTATGTATATATACTTATTTTTTTGGTGAGGAAGATTGGCCCTGAGCTAACATCTGTTGCCAATCTTCCTCTTTTTGCTTGAGGAAGATTGTCACTAAGGTAACATCTGTGGCAATCTTCCTCTATTTTGTATGTGAGATGCCACCACAGTATGGTGTGATGAGAAGTGCATGGTCTGCTCCTGGGATCCAAAGCTGAGAACCCTGGGCCACTGAAGCAGAGCGCAGGAACTTAAGCACTATGCCACCAGGCTGGCCCATGTATTATAACTTTTTTTAAGTTACTTTTAAATCATTACAAAGAGTGTTTGCTTTCAGAAGTCATGCCCACACTTCTATGGGCATGACTATAACCATTTTTGTAAAGAATAAGAGTTGTAGCAAATAAAAAATAAATACGATAATCAATTTCCTTTCATTTTACCATCACCAAACCTCTACTCTCACCTTTTTACCCATTCATACTCAGTTATGGGGGAGATATTATTTTCTGTTTGTGGTAGCTGTTTCATCTTTTTTTGTTCCTTCATCTTTTTCTCTTATAAAAAAGTTTATCTGGGGGGCTGGCCGAGTGGCATAGTGGTTGGATTTGCGCACTCCGCTTCAGTGGCCCGGGGTTCGCAGGTTCGGATCCTGGGTGCAGACCTAGCACCACCATGGCTTGGCGGGATCCCACAGAACATAGAGGAAGATTGATACACATGTTAGCTCAGCGACACTGTTCCTCGAGCAAAAAGAGGAAGATTGGCAACAGATGTTAGCTGAAGGCCAACCTTCCTCACAAGAAAATAAATAAATAAAATAAAGGAAATATTTGAAGCTATCAGAGACCTACCAAAGCAGAAAGTTATCAATTAGCTTTTGCAATTAGCTATTATTATACAACAAAAGCACCCCAAAACTTAGTTGCCTAAAACAATAATAAGCGTTTTATTATGGCTCACAAGTCCATGGGTCAATTGGACAGTTCTGCTGATCCAAGCCAGGCTCAGCTTATGTGTCTGCAGTCAGCTGGTGGGTTGGTTGGTGTTGGCTGATCTAAGATGGGCCCAGATGAGACAACCCTCTCTGCTCCGTGTGATATTGCATATTCCAGCAGAGTAGCGTGGATTGGTTATCACGGCGAGGGTCTGAGACAGAATAGAAGCATGCAAGCCTTCTGAGGCCGAGTTCCAGAAGTGGAACAATATTGCTTCTATTGTCTTCTATTGGCCAAAGCAAGCTATAGGATCACTCAGGATTCAAGGGATGGGGAAATAGACTTCACCTATGATGGGAGGAGTTGCAAATTCACATTGCAAAAGTTGTGCGTGAAGAATTGTAGCCATTTTTGCAATTGATCTTCCACAGGGTTAAGATCCCAGAGTAAAGAGAAGCCCAGAGAAGTAAGGCCAACGTTTGGTGGTGTTTGCATCAGCACTGCATTTACCAATTCAAAAGAAGCTCCTGAGAGGAAGGGACGCTCAGCACAGCCTTCAGAATTCTAGGACTGGGGGGATGAAAATTGGGGTTCAACTCCCACCAGGAAGGCATCCTGAAAAACAGCCCAGGCATTACATTTGGACCCCTGAGGGGTTGTATTCTAGGAACAAAGATAAACGTGAAATATACCAACCTTGCCGAAGAATATAGTCCAGTCAAATCAGCTCAAACTCTGGCTGGACTAAGGCAGTGGTCTCCAAGTGTAATCTTCAGATCCCTGAGGGGTCAGAGAGATCAAAACTATCTTCATGATAATATTGAGATGTAATTTGCGGGGTTTTTTTTAGCATATCAATGTCTTCGCTGATTGTGTAAAAGCAATAGACTAAGCAAAAGATAAAAGTAAAAGATTAAGCTGCTGGCCCTTTGAGTGAATCAAGGCAGCGGCATCAAACCATACTAATAATCGTTGGTTTCTTCACCACCACACGCTCAAAGTTATTCTTTTTAAAAAAAGCCAGTTTCACTTAAGACTGTCCATGATGAATCAGGAAAAAATCGTTAATTTTATTAATTTTCAACTCTTGAGTACACGTGCTTTTAATATTTTGTGTGATGAAATGTGAAGTATGCCTAAGACACTTCTGCTGCTTATGAAAGTACAATGGTTGTCTGAGAAAAACTATGTAATTGTTTGGGTTGTGAGCTGAACTAGCCTCT